TTGCTTTTAAGAAGAGTTATTACACTTACCCTTAGCCCCTTTCCAACTACTGAAAAGGGGAAAATAGCCATATTAAAAAACAAATCCGAGGAAAAGAGTATCACAAAAGTGACACAACCGCTCATTTTTGCTAAGTTTCAAAGCATAAAGGACCGAAAGAAAACTGGCTACATAGTTGATGGACCAACCTTGCTGTTTTCTAGATATTTTCTTCCAAAGTTCTCATCAAAAGGATGTCTTGTGAGTTGATATCAAAATGTAAAATCTACATTTCACATCCTCAATGTAAGTATTCAATTGCCTTACCCACTCCAAGAGCAATTTTAAACATTCTTTGCCAGGGTAAAGATGTGATATTTTCACTGGTAAAATATGATTTGATCCAAGGATTCATTTGGTATAAAATCAGATACAAGAGCTCGTTTAGATCTCTCCTTGCAAAATTTGATTAGTCACATCACATTAATATCATGAACCCTTCCAATGTCCTCAAATCTCTCCTAACTAATAAAGTGTTTGACAAAATCAATGTATTATAGTTAATTCATACAAATTCAGTGAAACTTTTCTTTTGTAGTTTTTCTTTTTTGAAATGTTTTGGCACACATGTGAGAGAGCTGAATGTATTAGTCTTGGATTCACCTAAAAAAGAACATTACTGTTCATGTAATAAAGGATGATGGAACATTAATCTATCTCTTGTTATCCAAAATGGAAACTGATATTGAGGCTTACACAGGAAGAAGGGACACAGTGCTTGCTCTGGCCTCCAGCAGCAAAACATCGGGAAATATAAGACAGCACGGGACATGAGGTCATTTACTAAATTAATGAATATTAAGTAAGAGTCTCTATTTGTAGTCTGAATGATATAATTGAGACTGTAAAATAATTTTTATTTGTTTTATAAAAAAAAATTTTCCCTTCTCTTTTTTTCTTGTTTCTTTTTAATCCTTCAGGACTTTTTTCATGATTTTTATTTTATTAAGTTTTTGTCTATTCCATTAACCGAACGCACCCAAAGGGACCCAAACTTACTCTTTCAAATTAACAAAATAACTTTTAGACTTATGTTAGCATGGTTGTAATTTTTTATTTATGATTTTAGTTACCAAGATTATTAGTAATTCAAAATCAAAATTAATTAATTTATAAAACTTGTAGCTACCAATACCTAATATATTTATATATATTTTGGCCTACATACCAATACCTAATATTAAAATTTTAATTAATTTATAGAGCTTATTAATTTTATTCTATGATTTCTAAATTTTTGAAAATTAAAACAAAAAATAAAAGATCACAACTGTACTAAATGAAGATTCACTAAGTAATTAACAAGCTCATAAGCAACATATGTCATTTTAATGGTATCTCCAAGGTTTAATAAGGAAAAAATATTAGTGACAAAAATGTTAGTGTTCTAAAAGTATGAGGGCATAGATTAAAAATCAAAAAGGCAATTTTCTAAATGGCATAACCTCCCTAGAAGCACTTTAACTGGTTGTTTTCAAGGCCATTAACCTCTTAACATACACTCTATGTGTTTTAGTCAATAAACTTCATATTTTTGCTATAATTGACCTAAAATAAACAAAATCTCAACACATGAATCATGTAGCCGTCTCTATTCCCATTACCCTATTTCTCATCAACACTATGCTACTGTACACACGGTCCACTAGAACCAAGGAAGTGAGAAAAATCCCATTCAAGATCAGACTATGAGTGCTTTGGATGGGATTTTTCTATTTCCATGAGTCCAAGTAGACCATATTTATGCAAGCATGGTACTAAGGAAGATAGGGTGACAGAATGGAGAGTGGATTGACAACGTTCTCAAGAGGAACCCAATTTGGGTTCTCAAGAGAAATTTTGGATTCTCAAATTCTATAGTTGAAGGATTAGTGTTTCCTTAATTGTTTTAGTCAAACCTCTAAAAATGATTAATTGTAAGCTTGAAAGTGGAACCAAATTGAAATTGCAAGTACCATTGAATTTTATATTTTAATTTCATGTAATGAGGCTGTCACTGAACTAGTTGAATAATCTAGCTATGGATTTTTGCCGGACTGTTTTGTTGTTGGGAAATTGAAAGAAATTAGAGAGAAATTGAGAGGGTAAAGAAGAGGATGAGGTTTTAATATAAGAGCAAAAAGTTGATGAAATAAGAAGGAATTTGAGCCTTTATCAAATGTTAAGAATTATATATTAATTGTGAGGACAATACATTTTCGGAGGAAAATGATTTATATACCTTCCAGTTCAATGCACCTACTAACATTCATGTGGTTCAGTTATTAAAATACAATATAAATATAACTAATTTAATTGGTTCATACATTCTACATGTATAGCCGCATCTTTAAGATTATTTACCTTCTCCATTAAAGTTAAACTAATAAGGTGGCATTGTTAGATTTTTTTTAGTATATTTCAAAAGTTTAAACTCCTTAATTAACTTAATTCATCTAAATCAAAATTTTTATATTAATAGATACTAATTTAACAAAACTCATATTGGTGACTTTATTAGATGATGAGATAACTTAATTTACTAAATTGTGATTGTCTTATTAGAGAGGATAACACCTACATACAGATGCACAATAGAAAACTTGAAAATTTGGTGCTCCCTTTCTCACTATCCATTAATTGGTTACCTCCATTTGAATGAGAAATATTTGGGATACACGTTAGGAGGCAACTTCTTTGAAGCTTCCATAGAGAAATTTGCATCCATGAAGATGAAACAGTAAGAAGGTCCATTACTCCAACAATGAAAGCACGTGTCCTTGGAAATTAATAAATCTAAGTTAAATGACGCGTTCGATCTCATCCCATCACCCTGTCACCCTTGATGCACATTTGAAATACATTATTGAATTTGGTATATTTACACATTAGGAAGCAACTTCAATGAAGCTTCCATCGAGAAATTTAGATCCATGAAGATGAAAGTCCACATATTTGCTTTATGGTAATCAATAAGAAGGTCCATCAACTTGTCCATTTCGTTTGTAAAAAGGTCTATGGCTCCTCAATGAGATCAAGTCGTCCAAGGAAATCCAAGTCAGCTAACGCGTCCTTGGTAATTGTTATTTTCTTTTCATTATTTTTAATTATATTTTCTTTAATTATTCAAATAAATCTAAGAGTAATTATTTTGGAAAATAATTAATATGCTATTTGATTTAATACATTTTTTTGATATTAGCTCGATTTAATTATTAAAATATTATATAAGTAAAGTTGATTTAATCAATTTTTATATTTTATATGCATGTTTATATTTTTAAATTTGTTTGTCTTTAATTTTAGAGTTGAAAATAATAATTTTTTATTAATATGTTATACAGTGTGTTGATTAGGATGTTGTATCAATTAATATTCAATTATTTTTGAAATTTAGTTAATTAATAATCCTCATTAATCAATACTCTACTTATCATTATATTATTTAGAGTGACTAATGCACTTGTTAAAAAAATTTTAATGCATCAAAATTGATGGAATAAAATGGTATTTCAACCTTTATTTTTTTTTATGGAAATATTTCAACCCTTATTAAATGTTAAGAATTATATAATCTTAATTGTGAGGACAATGTATTTTGGAAATTAGATTAAATCCACTAATAAAGAGAATGACTTTTACAATATCACTATTTGTGATTCTAAATAAAAAGAATTAATTATAAAATATTACATTAGATTATGCAAAATATTATACTTACAAACAATGCATCTAGCATTTTCTTCATTTTCTTCCTCTAATAAAGTTAAATTTTGATGAGATGACTTTGTTAGATATTTTTTTTATACATTTCAAGAGATTAAATTTCTAA